ATAATAATAATAATAATAATAATAATAGTAATAATAATAGTAATAATAATAAAAATAATAATAATAAAAATAATAATAATAATAATAATACTTTCCTTTCATTTCAGTTTAAGTCGTTTCGTTCGATACTTTCGAATGTTTCGCATAAAAAACAAGGCAATCAGATTGAGTTTTCTCTCTCTCTCTCTCTCTCTCTCTTTTATAGTTTTACACTTAAACTTTACGCTCGTATTTAAATATTTATACTCGGCTGAATCACCTCGTGTGTCTGTGTGTGTATATAATATACATATGTAATACATAAACCGTAAATATGGAATCACTTTTTTGTTTTTTGTTCTTTTGTTTTTTTTTTTTTTCTATTTTTTTACTTTCATTAGTTCCTTTCCTTCGTTTCCTGCATCTTAATCGCGCAACTTATACGAAAAGATACTAAGCTCTTAGTAAGAAGTTCGTTTAAATTGTTTCGTGTAGTCGCCTCGTCCCCACTGCCTCCTCCCCGAAGCTCCCTTTTCTAACGCGGGCTACGTGGTGCTCACCTACCGCTACGAGCACACGGCGTAAGTCAATCTGAAATAACGCGGCATGGAAACGAAACGAATGTGTAAACTCTTGTTTAAGAGTCTTTCTTCCTGTTTTTTTATCCGTTTCTCCTCTTATTCCCACCCCGGTTCTAGTTGTTCGCGTTTTTTTCATTTTTTTTTCTTCTTCTTCCTTTCACACACTTCTTCTCACGCGCTCTAGTTCTCTCTAGCCCTCTCACACTCAGCTTACGTCCGTTCCAATTTGCTGTCAGGCGGCTGTTATATCAGTATAACGCGCAAGTAATTTAGCTAGAAGTTTCTTAACTAGAAAAAAAACATTGACGTTAACAGCTGAACCCCGCGTTCCTTCTTTGCTCGTCGTTTTCCCCCGTTGCTTCGGACTACTTGACAACTAGTGCCGCTCTACCGCCACGTGAACAATGAATGCCGAATGTCGACTTGAGTGTCGACTGAGTCCAACGAGAGCACCAATCTGTTCGAAAAGTGTGAAGTAACTTTTACTCAGCGGGTTACTCAACGAGCAAAGTCGAGAAACGCGCCCAGGCGAAATCGTTTCGTTACGTTCCGTGACAAAGTATGTACAGAGCGAATCGAACGTCGCGAGGTAACCGTAATGGGTGATCTAACGAACAGCCCTGTCGCGATTAACAACCTATTCGTATTCGTGTTCGAATTCGAATAAAGCATGATCGAGCTTGACAGTAACGTCGAATTAAGATTCGAGGTATATGA